CCTGCTGAAGCATATGCTGAAGATTAATACATTGTGTATCACAGCTGGTGTCCTTGTTATATGTACTCTCTGAGTGCTTTTAGCTATGACACATAATCCTTTTTTAGTCCTGCAGAGAACATATTGTTATTATTCTTTTTATTCAGATAGGTAGGTTCAGAGAAGTTAAAACAATTTTCTAAGATCATAAAGACTGAGGGGCAGCTGCTACTCAAATCCAGCCAGGGTCTTTGATTCCAAATCCTCTACCGTTCACCTTATGTATGCTATACTGCATATGAAGGTATATTTTAGGCCCGTCACTTCATCTCTGTATACATGTTTTATTTTTCTGTTGGTTTACGTTGGAAGGGGTCATACCATATGAATGCATACTTTTAAAATTCTCATGGTTTACTTCATACCCATTAGGATGACTATGTAAAAAAAAATATGTTTTGACAAGGATGTGGAGAAATTGAAATCCTGTGCACATCTGGTAGGAATGTAAAACGGTGCAGCCACTGGAAATAGTATGGTGATTCCTCAAAAAAATTACACTATATCTTTCAGCAATACTGCATCCATGTTTATATTCAAAATATCCTTATTCCTGTTCTCCCTCTTGCATATAACAATGCGTTAGTATTTGGACCAGTTCCATTGATATTCTGGGGTTTCTATTCTGTCAAGGTTGTTCAACTATTTCCTTATGAGATACAAAAAGAATTAAAAGTACCCACAGATATTTGTATACCAGTGTTCATAACAGCATTATTTACAGTAGCCTAGAAGGATAGAAACAACCCAGATGTTCTCTGACAGCTAAGCAGCTGATCAAAACATGGTATATACATACAATGGAATGTTATTTAACCTTCAACAAAAAGGAAATTCTCATTCATGGCTACAGCATGGAGGAATCTTGAAGACATAATCCTAAGTGAAATAAACCAGGCACAAAAGGGCAAATATTGTGTGATTCCACATATAATAGGAGGTACTAGTCTGGGAATAGGGAATTAGTATTTATTAAATATAGACTTTAAGTTTTAGATGAAGTAGTTTTGGAGATGATTAATGATGATGGTTATAAAACAATGTGAATGTACTAAATGCCACTGAGCTGGATGTTTTAACATGGTCAACATGGTAAATTTTATGTTATGTATTTTGCCACAATAAAAAATTCCCATTATCCTTCAAAGGAACTCGCTTTGAACACTTGCTCATGAAAATAGGATATCAAGCAAAGAATGCCTCCACAGAGCTCAAGATTAGGTGTTTGGATGCAGTTTCATCTCTTCTTTATTTATCAGTAAGTAGATTGGGAAATTAATGAAAAACAGTGGGGCTGTGTTTGGAACAATAAATCCATCTGCATCAACATAATACTGAGCCATCTTTCTCAAGTTCTTAGTAAATGAAGATAACCCTCATTATATAACTAATGCCATTTTAAAGTGGAATCAGAGCATCAGAGCGGAATCAGAACTGAGAGAACCCTAGAGATTGCTTAATCAACACCAACAAAAGAACCAAAACAGAACTGGGAAAGTTAGGGCTAGCTTTGGAGAAGAGTGCTCCAGACTTACCAGAGATCACACAGCAAAATAGTGACAGAGGACCATCAGAACCCAGGTGTCCTGACTTCTAAATAGCTTTCCTTTTCTGTCCTGTAGCCTGAGCAGCAGACTGATGACCTCCTGCGGATGACAGAATCCTGGTTTTCTTCCTTATCTCGGGACCCACTGGAACTTTTCCGTGGCATCAGTAATCAGCCCTTCCCTGAACTACATTGTGCTGCCTTAAAAGTGTTCACGGTAGGCATCTTTTCCAGGTCCTTCTGGACTATGCTACTTCAACACATGAGTGCCTACAATGAGCTGGCCTCTATGCCATGCCCTGGGAGCCACAAGTGCGTAGTACAGTTTCTGCCCTCTGCTCCCCTATAGACTAATGAGTGAGACACAGGTGTAAGCAGATGGTTTCCATAAAAAGTCTTAGGTGTGGCTGAGGTTTGAACTCTATGGCATCACAGAATTCCAGATTCCTTCTTTGCCATCAAGCTAGCCCTCTGTTGACTAAGTCCTGGTCTTCTTCCTGAACCTTATTTCCTGTCATTGCGCTCCTGACACTTATTACTCTAGTGACACCAGCCGTTTTTGGCTTCTACATCAATGATCTCATTATTACTTTATTTGTTTCCATTCTTCTACCTTATGCTCCACTTAGTTGGCCACAGTTGTAGACGTAATTTCTGATTTACCTATTGGGATGGTTGTCTTTATTTCAGCCCACCCTTCATCCTCAGCTGTTAACAAGGCTGATGTGTGTCAAACTTCAGAGATCTCATTAAGATGTAGATTTTTATTTCTGGGATGGTGCCTGAGATCCTGAATTTCTAATAAACTCTCAAATGATGCAGTGGTGCTCCTGGTATGCAGAATATACTTTGGGAGAAAGAGACTAGGTTATAAACTTGTTTCTTGTTCTTCATTAAAATGTAGCTCTAAAAAAAAAAAAAAGTAGCACTGAAGTTTTAACAAACAATATGAAAGTTGCTTTTTCATTTTTTTTTTAATTTTTTTTAAAAGATTTATTTATTTATTTATACAAGCACTATGTACAATCAGAAGCGTGGGAGGGTGAACGAATTCACCAGAGCCAGAGCAGGGAATAGAATAGGCAGAACTACAAAATACACTGCTGAGGGGAGCAGTGGGCACAGCAGGAGAGGTCTGTCACACCATGTGGGACCCTCGCCGGTGGCCAGGGATCGAACCAGCGCTGCAGAGGCTGCGGGCAGCTTCACAGCCCAACGCTCAACTGCTGCACCACCAGGGGAGGCCCTGCTTTTTCATTATTTTAAAATTTGGAAAAGATTTGAGATTTGGAAAAGATTGAGACTTTTTAAATCATAAAAAGTCATACCTGTTGGGTTCATTTCCTTTTGGTATTAGTGCTAGTGTTCATATTTACCTATTTGTGGTGAAATATTTGAAAGATACAGTTGTGCTTTATTACCTCTGCCCAATCATGTACCGCTTCCTCCCTCTTTGGACGTAATCACTGTCATGAATTCAGGATTTACAAGTCCGTGCATGATTTTATACTTTTTTTTTTTTAAGATTTATTTATTTATATATACAAGAACTGGGGTACAGGCCAGAGGTGTGGGGGGGTGCTGTAAGAGGATTCACCAGCAACAGAGTGGGGAACAGAACAGGCAGATCTACTGAAATACACTGCTGAGGGGAGCAGTGGGCAAATCAGGAGAGGTCTTCTGCGCCATGTGGGTAGCTCTCTGGCCAGGGATCGAACTCATGCTGCAGTGGCTTCAGACTGCTTCATAGGTTGCGTGTGAACACCTAGTGCCACCAGGGAGGCCTGATTTTATACTTTTATTGCATATGTATACATCTTTAAATTGCACATCACAAATTGAAGTTTTACAAAATATTCTTAAACTTTGTAAATGGTATCATGCTGTTCATATTCTGCAATTTGTTTTTCTCTACACTTGTTTGTAGATTTATATATGCTAAAAGAGGTGAATAAAAAGCTACTAGCTTTTCACTATATAGCCACAGTGACTTGTTCTATAAATGAAGATTCAGATAGTATCTATTACAAATATTATGATGAACTTTCTTGAGACTATCTTGTGTAAATGTATGAGAGTTTCTTTAGGGTAGTCATTCCTTCTCATTTTTTTCTATTTTTCTACTGTTGTAATTCTGCCATGATTATAATTTGGGTCTATTTTTTTCATGTAACATATATTTATAAAAATTCCTCATGTTTATTTTTCATTATTATATACCATAATTAATTACTCATCCTCCCACTATTAGAATTTATATTGTACCTTTCAGTGATGGATACCTTTCTGTACAATGCTTTTTAATATTTAGGCTATTTTCCAAAAATAGATTCCTTTAAGGGAATTTAGACAAAAAAAAAAAAGTTTTGTAAGATCTATGTTGCTGAAGTTCTTTCTAAGGATTATGTAATCTAGCTAACAAACTTTACTTCTAAAAGATCTGTCTGTCTTCCATTTCAGGCCATTGCAAATCAGCCCTGGGCTCAGAAACTTATGTTTAACAGTCCAGGTTTTATAGAATATGTGATGGATCGGTCTGTGGAACGTGACAAAGCTTCAAAGGATGCCAAATATGAACTGGTGAAAGCACTTGCCAATTCCAACACAGTTGCAGAAATTTTTGGGAACCCAAATTATTTGAGACTCAGAACTTACCTGAGTGAAGGTCCTTACTACGTGAAACCTGTTTCCATGACAGCAGTGGAAGGAGCAGAATGATTTCTTCAATAACCTAGACCTTTTTGACCAAAACTTCTCCAAAGGTTTTGACTATCTGTATTTTACGAAACAGAAACTTCCTGCCCCAGAATTATGGAGTGTCTAATGTAATTTATCACCTACACTGGCCGTGTTTCTACATCAAAATACAATGTGGGAAGTGGGCAAAACTCAGTCATAATTGAATCAGATACTTTTCAGATTCCTTTGACTGCTTTAATCTTTGCAATGAGATAGAAATTTTATTCTCGGAATATTTTCAGGGACTTATTGTCTTCTTTAAAAATATGCATCATACAAAATGGAACCAAGTTGTTTCTGAATTATCTTTACCACTTTTCTTTTTCTTTTTGGTCCTTCTCCCGCTTTTGATTCTAATTTCAAAGTGTTAGATATACTCTCAGAAAAGCAAGTAATATGGAACTTAAAATTATGTTCCCTATCCTAAGAATAAGTTCTTTTGATTTTTTGTTACTATTATTCCTTCGAAAAACAATAAATTTTTAAAAAATGCTTCAAGTGTTCGTTGATGCTTTTTTCAACAAGTTCCTTTAGTTCTGAGTTTTCCTTTTATTCTGAGCATTCTCAGAAAGTCATTCACCACTGAGTCAGGACAGCTTCAGAGAATGTGAATTTTTTTTTTTAATTTACTAATTGCAAAAAGAAAGAAAACATAATTAAACTTAATGTTCTCTCTTCTGAATGAAAGGCTTTATTTTGAAAAGAATCATCCTAAACAAACTTAGGTTTCTTGAAACAAAATCTCAAATGATACAGTACACCAGAGCACTAAGAACGTTTTATAACTTGCCAAATAGGACCAAAGACTAAGAAAAACGACATAAAACACCAAAAAGTAGGCATGCTCTCTATAATAAGGTAGGAGGTAGTTTTAAAGAACACATTTAGAAGGCATTCCCAAAGGAGGTAGTTTTAAAGAACACACTTAGAAGGCATTCCCAAAGCGAACAGTGTGAGAATGGAGTGCCCTCGGACACTGGTCACGTTACCCAAGAAATCCTAATCACCAAAATACATGGCATTGTTTTTTATGATACCCATGTGAAAACGTTTAAAGCTGTCGAGGTATGTCAGAAGTTTGCAGGAAATGAGACCATAGTAAGTCTCAAACAGTGTACATTCTTTTCCATCATTAATTTCCTTCCATATCAGGGGCATTTCAGCATCTGTAATTACTAAGGACGTGAAAATGAACTTATAGCAACATCTGTTGTATCTGATATGCTTTTTCCCAGAAAACCTTGAGCTGTGGATGGGAACAAGGCCAATGGACTTGGCACAAATTCCTACAAACACGTCAGCAGGCACCGAAATGGGTACTTCTTTGGAAACCACATACATCATCCGAGCCACATCTTGGGACATTATAAAGGTCTCAGCACTGCAGTAATCTGGGTAGTACTTTTCTGGGTATTCACTAAAAGAGACAAATTCTTGGCTATTAGGATCTCTGTTGGGTGTTTCCTGATGGATAACCCTTCCTATGTAGATATCTTCAAGGTGTTCTTTTAGATTGAGAAGATAGTCAACCAAGCTTGGAAGATTGACAAACATCTCTTCATCAACCTTGAGAATGAACAGGGCATTAGGACAGAAAGTCACAGCCCACTGCATCATTGCGATGATCTTTAGGGTTTGGTTCTCAGCACTGTCCAAGAAGATTCCTTCAATTATATCATTATTCTTATGAGACTCTTGGTGTATCTCTTGCTGGGTGGTTACCAAAAAAGGCATTCCCAAAGCAAACAGTGTGAGAATGGAGTGCCCTCGGACACTGGTGACGTTACCCCAGGTTTTCCTGATGAGATCCCGTCTTGTTCCATTTCCTGGGCGACTGAAAATGAGAGAGAGCAAAAATACGTTCTTCCCTTTACACACATCTGACTGGTTCAGGATATAATATTTGGAAAGATTACTTCTTAGGGGCTCCATGTTCAGTTTTCTTGCTTTATCCTTAATTTCAAGAACTTTCATGTCTACATAAGGCAAAGCATGCAGAAAGTATTCTTCTACAAAATCAGCGCCAAAAAGCAAAGCATGAAATAGGATAACATTAAACAGAATGAAGCACCACTGATGAGTCCGAAGTCTGCAGAATATCATCTAAATAAGAAAAAAAAAAAAATGTTCATTCAAGGTTCATCTACATTCCAGTTTTTGCCCCCACTGAATGTGATACTACTACTTAGAGCACTTAGCAATATGGTATTTTAAATGTTTAGTTTTGTTACAGGTCTCCCACTAACTGTGGTCCCCTGGACAGCAGGCATCTCGTTTTCTCTTCTCCAGTGCTGTTGAGTGCAGTGCTTGACCCAAAGTGGCAAGTGAACAAAATGTTAGTTGGTGGTTTTCTTGCATGTATGGATGAAAGCCTACTTACTACATACAAGGCACTATGTTAGACTTGGGAAGCAAAGAGGAATCAGCCAGACATGGATATAAAGTAACAAGTGGCATGATTGTTATGGAAAATATAGGATGTCCTTTCTGGAACTGAGGACTTGGATCAGTTTCTTCTCTTATTTCAGACATCACGGGCTATTTTTCCATGAAGTGGTTGCTTTTCTTGGCCACTGCACAATGGCTACTAATAAACATTTACCCCCGTCTAGTAAAACTTTTGAACTGAATACTGAATTCTGTCTGTTTTGACAATGTCCCCTAGCCCATTTGATGAGGCTGTCAGTATGGGCAGATCCCTGCTATCTGTACAGCACCTGTTCAGAGATCTCAGTCAGACATGTGCCTCGCCTACTCCACCACACCAAAGGAGACAGAACCATTCCAACTGCGAGGCATAGGTAATATCAGAGGATAGCAGAGCCAGGTAATGTTAAAGGACTTACATCTCCATTCATTGGCTCTTCCATCAACAAAGCCTCCCATAAAAATAGTTCCTTTTATTGAGCATCGCCATGCACCAGGCACTGAACTAAACACTTTCCATGCCTAACTCATTTAGTCCTGGTAAAATCCCTTTCAAATAGGTTATCTTCAAAATTAAACTGAGCATTCCAGTAGTTTAATAATTTGTCCAAGATCACTCAGTGGGTAGTGGGGTAAGGATGGACATAAATTCAAATCTGCCCAATTCCAAAGCTCACTCTGAACCACTAGAGAATTTTGTCTTCCATCTTTTACTTTTCTGTGTCTACTGAATAGGAAAAAACAACAAAATAGATCTCTACAATTATAGTCTAAACTCCATCCTACTTTCTCAGTGCTGATGGTTTCATAGAAGAAAACTTCTGCCTCCTTAGTCTATTTTAGAGGCTATCAAATGCTTTGAAGATTATATGAAACTTACCTGCATGTTATCTGTGAGCAATTTCAGAGTGTTGGGAATTATTGAGTACGGATGCCAAATTATATCCAAATGTGTCTCAGAATCACTCCAGTCGAACAGCAATGGAAGTAAGCTATTTTGTGCTCAAGACTTTAAGGATAGGGTTTCTTTCAATCAACTGAGCTTTTGTCCCAGAATACCTGCTGGCTCCATAAGAGAGCAAGCATGCATCAGGTTACAGCCAGACTGAATCCACAACAAAGAATAGAAAAAGCAAACCTCTTCAAATGCCTCCACCTTGCTGAGTCCCTGGTGAAGTATATGCTGAAGTTGAAAATACAGTTCACCCACATCACCAGCAGACAGCATCATACCAGGAGAAATGCCAAACAGCTCAAGAGATTAAAAAGTTGCAGTCATGACAGCTCCCCGGAACATGCACATGCAAGAAGTGTACTAAACATCAAGAAATGCTTGTCATCCTTGGTAGGTGCATTTATTTTTCTTCCCCAGAAAGCATCATGTGAGGAGATCTGGTATATTTTTCATTGGGAAGGATTTTGAATTCCTAGTATAGTAATGTAAGGATTGACTAAATCAATTATCTGTCATTCAAACTAACTATCCCAGACAACTTTATCTTGAAATGGAAAATGTGTAGTCCATTTTAGTTTGCAGAAACTAAGCATTTGATGTTTGCATTTATCTGTTTCATATAGGTATAGGAATTCCCAAACATCATTTGTACCAGAGTTCCTTTTTTCCAGTTGCTAAATATGCACACCCAATTTCTATTTAATTTTTTTTTTTTGTAGAGGTAACCTTGATTTACAACATTGTATGATTTAGAATCCTCTACCATAGTCACTGTTTCCACCTCCCCACTTCCCACTCAGGTAGCTTCAATTCTACAGTTTTCTACAGATTTGTACGGTTTAGTTTTAGCTGATCCTTTCTCTGTATCCCACCATTTGATATTTCTCCTGATTTATATCATGTAACATAATTCCCTCCAGTTCTATCCATGTTGTCACAGAAGGCAAGAGTTTATCTTTTTTTTTTTTTAATAATTGAGCAGTATTCCACTGTATATATGTCCATCTTCCTAACCAACTCATCTGACTTAAGGAACTTAGTTTTTTTTCCAAAGGTTAGCTACTGTAAACAGTGCTGCAAAGAACATAGGTATGCATATGTCCCTTTGAATTAGTGTTTTTGTATTCTTCGGCTAGATTACTAAGGGGGGAATTACTGTGTTATATGGTTGATCTATTTTTAATATTTTGAGAAATCTCCATACTAGTTTCTATAGGGACTGAAACAGTCTACATTCCCACCAACAGTATACGAGGTTTCCTTCTACATCCTCTCCAACACTTGTTTCTGGTCTTTTTTGATACCGGTTATTTTCACAGGTGTGAGGCAATATTTCATTTGGTTTTGATTTGCATTTCCCTGATATTAAGTTATGATGAACATTTTTTCACGTGTCTGTTGGCCATCTGTAACTCTTCGTTGGAGAAGTCCAGCAAGTCAGCATTAAGAACATTTACAGGGCCTCCCAGGTGGCGCGGCAGTTGAGCGCTGGGTTGCGAAGCTGCCCGCAGCCTCTGCAGCGCCGGTTCGATCCCCGGCTGCTCCCCGGCCACCGTGTGAGGGTCCCACATGGCGCCCGCTGCTCCCCTCAGCAGTGTACCTCGGTCCTTCTGCCTGCTCTGCTCCCTGCTCTGGCTCTGGTGAATTTTCTCACCCTCCTGCGCTTCTGACTGTACCCAGTGCTTGTATAAATAAATAAAAATAAATCTAAAAAAAAAAAAAGAACATTTACATTTTTGTCATTCCCTGCAAGAGTCCACCTCATTTTCATCCATGTTTTTTTGCTGTATTTCACCTCCTATCCTCTCATCCTCCTCCTGTCCATCCCAAATGACTAGTTTGGCCCACTCTGGGCCCTCCATCTCCTGGTTTTCCTGAATTGACAACAGTACAGCTGGCACCTGTAGGGTCTATCCCACAGGCCTGTCATCTCCCATGGCCTGGTGTTAACCTGGCTCCTGAGGCAGCCCCAGACTGTCCCTCTGAAGCTCCTCCTCACTGAGGACCTAAATCTCCTTGGTTTCCTCTGTGCCTTTCTCACCTTGTCTTTTCAAATCCAAAGGCACCTCGGAACTGGGGGTGGTGTCTGGGGTTGCTGGGGACCTCTCCCTTTTGTTTGTGGCAGGTCTGTCTCCTGCAACCTGGGCTAAGGCTCATTCGGGCCTCGCACTCCCGCTGGGTATGGTTCCCCCGCCCCCCACCCCCCCCACTCAGGTCCCTGTAAATTTCATTTCCCTTTTTGGTGACCTAGTTGTTCTTTACACTGATCCTTTGCCTCTTCCATTTGATTGATGCACTGGCTCAGGTCATAGGAGAAGTTACTCTCCAGGTTGGTTTGGTTCTTCTGAAACTACTGTTTACCCTGTTGCAGCTTGCTGTATCTCTTCTGCAGGGCCTTTTACTGGTCTTCCAGGATTTTAAAGGGCTTCTCACCGGTGGTGATATTATTCATTAAAGCCGCCTTTTACTCCTGCCATAACCTGTTGAGTTGTCCATCTGAAAGTTGTGCCTGGACTGGATTGTGTCAAGCGAGTTCATGTTGCTTTTCCAGGTTGCCCTGGAACTCATTATTCTTCAGCTCCAGGGTTCGCCTTTCTGTGGCCATGCTGCGGACCTTACCTTACTGGCCATGTGACCCTTGTCTGGAGATCCAGGCTTGGGGAGCTCGGGATCCACTAGTTGAATGAAGCTCAAGAAGGTGAAACAGGACGCCAGGCAGGCGGCGCAAGGGGTCAGCTACCTTACGCCGTGACGCCCCTTTCACAACCCCATCATCTCAGAGACTGGGTTTCGAATCTGACTCTCGAAAAGCCGAGCCGTCCCGCAGAAGTTCAGAATTCCCTCCTACCGCGGCTCCCGCGGCCGCTGGGCCCTGGGAAGGTGGGGCCCCGTCGCTGCCCCCCGGGGGCCCTCGCCAGCTCCGCGCCTTGCGCCCCGCGCTTTGTTCAGCGCTTCGCCTCTCTGGCCTAGGCAGCGACGATCCTGCGATTGTGCAAGCCTCTTCTCTTCCCCCTCCTCGGTAAAGTGAGGACAGTAAGAGAAAGTCCTGCAGAGCTGAGGCAAGATCATACTGGAGGAGCGCCTTTATCCCACGCGCGCTGCGGCTGCCACCAAACTGAGGGCGCGAGCACCGCACTGGGCATGCGCCGCCGCGCGCGCTCCCCCGCCCGCCGCTTCCCCTCCAGGCGGGGGCCGGAAGTGCAGCCGCGTCCGCTGGGCGCCGCGGGCGGGTGGACGCGCGGAGATGACGCAGGCAGCGCCGGAAGCCGCTCCCCGGTGAGCTTGCGGACCGGGAGCGGCGGCCGCTGGTCCAGGTCTGTAGATGAAGCGGGGTGGGGCTGGGGAGCGGGTTCTCGTGCACCGGCGCCTTGGCTGACCTGTCTCCTCTCCGGCTGTTCGTCTTTCTGTCTCTGCAGGCGCCATGGCTACGGAGCGGACCCGGCCGCTGCGAAGCTCTGGCGGCCCGAGCGCGCCTAGTCGGTGTGAGCCCGGCGCGAGGTCCCGGGCCCCGGGGCGCTCGCTCAGGTCAGTGCCGCGCGGAACACGGCTCCGGGAGCAGGGTACCTGAGAGCGACGAACGGGTTCAAGGGATCTGGAGTTGGTTTTAGAGATGGAAAAATGGAGTCTTAGTAACTTCCTTCTAGTGCCTCAGTTTCCTTAGCTGCGAAATGAGAAAACAATGATGTCTCGGCTGCCATGAGTCTGAAAGATGAGGTAGCGTGGAGAGTGGTTTATGAAGTGCAGAGCGCTGTGTTAACATGAGGGGCTGCCCCATAATTGTGGGTATGCTATGGAAACAGGTGTGTAAGTGGGGTACTGCTTAAAATACAGATAACAGTATTAGTACGAAATGATGATGATACCTGGCATTTTTGTAGGCTTACAGTGTGCCTGGTACTGAACTAAACGCTGACGTGCGTTATCTTATTTAATCCAAACGAAAACCTTTGCGGTAATGCTGGTCGTGGTTACGTCTTACAAGGAAACTGGCCTTGAGATAGGTGAAGTTATTTGCCCAGAATCACAGTAACAGGTGGAGGTGCGGAACCGGTATTTTATAAGCATCATTTGTATGCTTTCAAAGCTGTTTTTACCCATCTTAAAATTAAAGTCGTTTAAAAAATAGATAGTATATGTACGTGGTTTTAAATTTAAAAAGGAGCCCTTCCACTATTCCTTAGCGCTCCAGTTTTCTCTGGAGGCAACCAGTGTTACTTCAAAAGATGCTATATGCATATGTAAGTTTGAGAGAGAGAGAGACAGAATGAGAATGAAAATGTAAGCTTTCACTCTTGATTAGGACAGGTCTTGGTGGAGGAGAGGAAAATTCATTATGTTTTATCCAGAATTGTCCTGTCTTTAACAAGACCTGGGGTTATGGGTTTAGTTTTGCTTGAGGTGACTGGGGACTTGGCAACATGTTGAGCCTGCTACTTCGTGTGGGACCCTTGGTCAGTCACTGTACCTCTTGGGTGGTAAATTTAGTGGTTTGTTAGTTAAGGGCAGTAATACTGATATCTTCCATGAGATGGTGAAAATCAGGGAGGAAATGTTCGTGAAGTATAGTACCTTCGTCTTTAAAACCAGCCCCAAATGGGAGTTGCCTAAGGGAACATAGGGAGTTAATGATAGAACCAGAGACCAAACTCAGGTCTCTCATCTCCCAGTTAAAGGGTCTTCATTACACTACCCATTTGCTCATTTGTGTGATTGTTAATATTGAAGGCAGGAGGGCAAGTATGTTTGGTTTGAAGTGGGGCAAAAAGGGTAAGACATAGGAGTGAGGGTGCAGAGAAAAATGCGCGAATGGGAAGTTACTGCTTCAGGAAAATAACTGCCCTTAATTAAAAAATTAAACTAGTAATTTTGAAGGCTTAAGTCTTCCAGATATTTTAAGCCATTTTAAGAGAAACTTTGTAATAATATCATAGAGCTGGAAGGGATGTTGTGGTCATATCCTTTCCAGCCAAGTGCCAGTAAAAACTTTTCTGCTAGGTATTCCTAGTAACAAAACTAACAAAAAATACCATATGAGTTACCCTAGACTATGCTCTGTGCTACATTTCTGATTTTCACTACCCTCAAGGTGAGAGATAGCTTCTATTTTACAGATGACGGAACTGAAGCTTAAAAGTTAATTGAACATGGCCTTGATCACATAGGAAGTGGCTGAATTGGTGAAAGATTTGATTGACTCCAAAGCATTATCATTTACTTTGTTCTGCCTCTGTATTCAGCTGCCCTTGACTGTTCCCAGTAATGGGAATCTGACTACTCTGAAAGTGGCTGTTCCATTATTGGAAAGCTCTGATTTAAAAGCTCCTCCTGGGCCTCCCCTGATGGCGCAGCATTTGAGCGCTGGGCTGAGAGGCTGCCTGCAGCCTCCGCAGTGCCGGTTCATTCCCCGGCTGCCGGCGAGGGTCCCACCGAAAAAAATAAAAATAAAAATAACTGAGAGGACTTTAAAAAAATAAAAATAAATAAAATCTCCTCCTTAGCTGAATTGAAATCCTACTTCCTGAAATTTTCCCCTTGGGGCCTTGTGCTGCCTGTATGTGATACTCCTAAAGGCTAAAAAAGTCCAGATTAGACCTGTGATCTTACGGAAGTTTCCTCCAAAGTTTGTTGGGGTTTTTTTTAGAAAAGTAAAGACTGGTGTTTTTTTTAATAGTGCTTTCAGCTGAGTTAATGGGTTCTGCTTTATTTTTAAAAGTTTCCTATATCATGACAATCAGAGATGAATAACTGGAAAACAGCCTCATAAGGAGTTCAGTTTGGGGAACAAAATCCTGCAGGACTTAGGAGTCTAAATATCAAAAATGACTTTTTTTTTTTAAAAAAAAAAAGATGTTTCTTGGAAGGTTTGTGTTATAATCTTCTGTGGTGTCAAGGGCACATTAATTTGGCATGTTGTAGGATTTCTCTTAGTTATTTATGAATCGTGGAAACCTGATAATTTTTCATGGGCAGTATAAATTTGCTTTGTAGCCATTTAAGTAATGGTTCAGCTTACCTAAATGTAAGCATTTCAGCAACAGATGTGTGACATACTCTGTGTGAGGGTATGGGGAGCGGGAGGCTTGGGAGGAAGCCTCTCTCCCCACTCATTTCACTGTAAAAATGATTCCTGGGTAGATGTTTTGGAGTATGTTTTTAATTGGGCAGTGTTAATTATTTAGCAGTTGTGACATTGTGTGACTGACCAGGGAAAAGGGTTGTTATCTGGTGAGTAAACTCTTTAAAAGTAAAAATATGGCAGAATGTCATATGTAGAGGATGGTTAGGAGTCAGAGAAAAGGGAAGATTTGTTAACTTGAATTAAGTTGACAAAATGTTTGGTGAACTGATTATTTTGGCAACCAGCTAAATCTTTAATAAATTCAACCTAGCACAAACTGGAGGCTTCAAGGGTATTATTTTTTTATTTTTATTTATTTATTTATGCACACAAGAACTGGGGTGTGGGCCAAGGTGGGGGTGATTCACCAGCGACAGAGTAGGGAACAGAACAGGCAGATCTACTGAAATACACTGCTGAGGGGAGCAGCGGGGAGACAAGAGAGATCTGCTGCACCATGTGGGCTAGCTCCCTGGTGGGGGATCAAACTCATGTTACAGTGGCTAGCTGTAGCTTGATAGTGCTGTGTCTTTAACCCCTGTTGCCACCAGGGAGACCCTCAAGAGTATTATTTTTAAAGTCCATTCACTGTTCCAAAAACCAAAACTGTTAGACAGTCAGTGATGTGATTAGAAAAGATTAGGTTACTTTTACTGCTTTTTGTTCAGTAACATTCCCAAATTCGATCTTGGGAAATGAATGAAAATAATTTTTCCTTACCTTACATTAACAGAGTTGGAATGTAAGATCTGACTTTTTGTGTAGACCTGATGTGTATGACATATATGAAAGGAATTTATTTTCCTCCACATTATTTTGGAGGAAAAAAATCATAATCTCTATGATAATTTGTGAGAAACTGAGTTACCAGGTCAGAGGAATTTTTTTTTCTTAATCATGAAATGTGTAAACATATGACTATAAAGAGAATAATAAACCAGTATGTATCTGTCACCCAGCACTAACATTTGTCAACTTATACCCAGTCCTGGGAAAAATAAAGTATTTGCTTTATTTTTTGTTTATTTTTCATTAATTTAATCCTCATTATTAACTGAGTTGACAGTATGCAATGTTAGATTTGTGCACATTTTTTCCCTAGTTAGCCCTAAAGCAATTTGTCATTCTTGTGATGGGGAAAGGAGCGTAATCCTATAGGCATAGTGCCCCCAGATCTTATCACCAGGGTGTGACTCTCCTGGTCGTAGCTGGCTTCAGGGGAGACAGTTCAGTGTGGTTGGAGAGTACGGATCTGGAGAGCGCTGACCTCCAATCCATTCTGCTGCATTGTTGACTGTAGGCAACTCACTTGCCTTCTCTGAACTGTAACTGCACACCTGCAAAGTGGAAAAGATGATATATGGTTCTTTGGTTGGTTTTGGAGTTTTGTAAGCATCAGGAATACTAATTTGTCTTATTTATGCAGGCTTCCAGGACTCTCATGGCTGTCTGGGACACATGGTTAAGAGTTAATCTTCAGCTTATATGAGGCTTATAATAACAGCCTGTAAGGCCAAATAAGGCCTTTGGTAATTCATATAATAACAGACAGTTCCATAAAGGAATTGGAGAACCAGAATACCTAAGCTACATAACTTTTTACGTCTGCCTATTTTTCTTCCCCAAATCTGTTGGCCTGAACCTCTGTTGAAAAGCCAGTAGTCAGTTAATGTGGTTTGGTAACAGGTCACATTGTGCCTAGCATGATAACTAACCAAGTAACCATGATGTCTCAGGTTACTGCTCCAGAGACTTGCTTTCTGGTTGTCACATCCTGGTG